TATGATTAAGGTAAGTTTCCATAAGATAATTATGAAAAAATCCCGAATCTGGCCATTCCTGACGCCTGGACTCGCCGAGTGCACAAGGGACTCGCCGAGTCAGGCCTACTCGACGAGTCCACCTTGGAACTCGACGAGTCAGTGACTCAAAACCCAAAAAATCGAATTTTGCAGGTTTGTTTCAGTTATTCAAGCAACAATTTAAAGAAAACCAATCTAGGCTCTGATACCACTGTTGGGTTTTAGCCATAAGAACTTTCCTATGTGCGCATGCAAAACCCTATTGCTTGGATCTAGGCTTTCTAATAAACATGCTTTTGAATCCAAGACTTCTAATGGCTAATTAGGTTAAACAACAATATTAAAACAGATCTAGAATCATACCTTTGAATCCCTTGTTGATCTTGTTTGTCTTGGAGCTTCTAGAGTCACAATTGTCACTCCTCTAATGGCTTACAAACACCAATAGCAAGCAAGATGATTTAGGAGAGAGGAGAGGGGAGGAATTCGACCAGAGGTTCCTTGCTTAAGGTTGTGTGTGTCGAATTCCCCCATCCATAGGGGCTATTTATACTATTAGACTCCCTAAACCCTAATTGGATAATCTTCTCTTAAGGCTATCCAAATCCATTCCATAGATAACCCTATGGACGATTTTGAGCTATCCTAAAGCTCTTAGAATCCGTCCAAGGTGTATCCTAATGGATTTATAGTCTAAAGTCTAACTATCAAACAATTGACAGTTTATACCCTCTTATTTAATTAATCTCTTTAAGTCACCAAATTAATACCAATTAATTTATGACTTATATTAATCAAATAGCCAAATATTATTCCTTATAATATTTACTCTCTCTTAACAAATCATCCTTCAAGTTGCTATGGTGAAGGCAACCCAAAAGGACCATGCACCACCGAATATAGTTATAGCCTTAGACACTATTCCAACAATTTCACCCTATATAGAGGATCATTGGCCACCCCTAGCCTCCCCTTCACTGCCTCTTGTCCCTCTAAAGTCCAAATCGCGTGTGTGAGCTCATCTTGTGCATTTTAAGCTTGAAGGAGGAATTCTTGAAGAGAAAAGAGCTTGGAGACCAAGCATTCAAAAACAAGGAGCTTGAAGGACCTAAGATCCACTGTGGTTAACATCTTCTGGAAGGTATAAATCGTTACCCTAACCTCATTCACTTTTTTGGGCAACTTCTAGGGTTTTCATAGTGTGTTTGGAAGCTACTCTTCTTTGCAACCTCAGATCTGAAGTTGTAACTTCAGAACTGAGCTCCTTTAGGCTTCTTAGTATATAAAGTTTCCAACTTGTGCAAGAATGAGACTCTCCCAAGGTGTAAAACTCCACTAGAAGCATATATTGGTCATTTAGAGCCTTTAGAACCTTGCATGTGCATAAAGTTTGCAACTTTACGTGAAAATGCCTTAGAAGCTTGGATCTGCAATCTGGAGCCTTGCCATGGCTTAAAAAGCGTCTGCATGGATGGAGGTCTGCGAGGACTTGGCGAGTTGGATGAAAACTCGGCGAGCTCGATGAATTTGGCCGTGAATTTGGCGAGTTGGATGAACTACTCAGGATCTTAGAGCCGTCAAATGTTAAAACAAAAAGTGCATTACTATTTCTTGCTCAAATGGAAAGAAATGAAAAAAAATGATGCAATTATAGTGCTATTTTTTGCACAAACGGTGTTGAAGGGACAAACAGTGGCAATGACTTAATCATAGTAATGTCTTTCTCTCATTTTGATTTTTCTTTCATCTTTTACTTATAATACATCAAAGTCAACAGTTAGTACATTCATTATGATAATAGAAAGAGCATAAATAAATTTAAAAACAACAATAAATATAAAAACATGTTAAATTATAATCTTAATGTTAAAAAAAATCAATAGAATCATACCTTGAATATATTCGGTTACCACAAGTCCAAAACTACATGTAATTAACTAAGTTTAATCAAATGTAACATTGTACAACTCCATGAATAAAATTTGAAAAATAATATGTCAAAAAGAAGATGACATTTATAATTTTTAATTTCATTCGGAGGGTAATAATATTCTTAAGTAACTTACTATTATTGGTATCATTTTGAACACTTGGTTAGGATCTGGTCAGAATTTCGATGAGCAACTTGACTTGTATACCTTGGAATAATTTATCCAAAATCATATCAGGCTATCAAGGCTACCTTAATTATGCACTAACTTGAGATATTGATATTTACCTCAAACTTGACATTAGGGTTAGAAAAGTCACCTAATTCAGCTGCAAAGTCTAAAAATATTGGTATTTACCTCGAAAACAGGGCTGGAAAAGTCACATACTCCATCATCTGAAAATAATAATGAAGTGTTAAAAAAATAAGTATTAAAAAACATAAAATTATTTTGGATATGTTGGTGCCCTTCAATGTTTTAATTTATACCCCAAACCACAGGCTTGATTTTTTTTCACCGATAATAACATACATGTGATTTGTTTATATTAAAACTTATTTTCTTATTTGCTTTCACCCAATATTATAAATTCCAAACCCAAAATACATGTGCATATAAAACATTCAACATTCTTCTTCTTTGAGTTTGTGTTTGTATTTATTGTCTAGCTTTGACTCACCATGTGTAGATAAAGCATTGTACCTGGATACATTCAAGGATAAAAAGATGAAAACAACTAAAAACATAATAGATAATTCGCATTCTGGAAAGCCTTATACATGAGCAACTTTGATGGACCATCTCAGACAAAACATTGCTCATCTTAACATCAACTAAAGCTAAAGTTTTAATCAAAACCCATTGAAATCGTAATGAAGATAGAGTGAGAACAAGAACATGCCATGAATCATGAACATAAGAGGCTACAACAATATTATGAAAAAACAATTAAGAAGATGAATTCAAGTGAGAGTTTAAGTGATTTCATAGTATCTAGCAAACAAAAGACAAAAATCAGAACCTAACCAAGTTAAATCAAGAAATCATTCTCTTAAACATTTCATCGAGCACATGGTAGGCTAAAATATGTGAATATAAGAATCAAAATCAAAGGTAGTCTTTAAAATCCTAAGTTAAAAAATATCAAATATCATGCTTATACAAACAAAGATTTTTTAAATTACCCTGGCCTAATATAAGAAACAACAGGGTAAAGCGGTGAACCTGAATAGACAAACCAGAGGATGGCGGTAGAGGTGGACTTACAGAGCGTCGATCATCCATTTAAGGGGGAAGAACACTTGCTTGAAGATGTGAGGGTTTATGTGGGAAGGGATAGCTAATGACCGTCTTCTAGGTTGTAGCAGCAACATTAGGAGGGTGTAGGAACAAAGGTTGTCTGAGACCGAAGAGAGTAAGGAGAGAGACACAAGACATGCAGTTTGACGGTGGTTGAAGCCTGATGGTGTATAGAGGAGATCAGGCTTTAGAGAAGGTAATACCGTAGGATACAATAAGGTGTGCGTTTACGCTTGGTTTCTAAGGTTAACATGATTATCATCTGGAACCACAAAAAAAACCAAATAAATATTAATACACACCAAGATTCAAAAACAATGAAATCGATTTTATTTTAATGGATTTCAGGTTTCAATCTAAAGAAGAAGACAATAGGAAATAAAGAAAGCTTTTCGGTTGTAGCCAACACCACGACCACCGATATGAATTTCCAGGAATTAAAATAAGGAATAAAAACAAAAAACTACCAGTGTCACCATTCTCCTCAAACCGTAAACATATTCGTCGCCGTTCTCCTGCTAAAGTTTGAAACAAAATTTGAAATTAGTCGATTAGGCATAAATATATGTACAAATTGGGGAGAAATTCAGGAAAAATGAAATTGGAAAAGATAAAGATAACGAATATAAGTAGAATCTGAAACGGAAGAATAATGTTATCATTGGATAAATTAGAAAAAAATGATATTCAAATTAGTTCATACTATAAAAAAATAAGAAAACAGATGCATTTACTTTGTTAGCTTTGTCTCTAGCAAGCATCATTGTTTCATGAAGCTGTACAAGGTGGACTTCATTTAGGGCATAAGGAAGATACATATGAAGGAGGTAGAAGGCATCAAGAGAGGGGAAGAGCAAAAAGGATATACCTGAATGGATCCAGAGATGTAGGTGGCGGCGATGGAGTGTAGGTTTTATGGAGAACAGGAGAGTATGGTGGTGAGATGCAACATATAAGGGAAGGAGGAGATGATGATCCAAGGCGTTGCCCAATTCAAGAAGTCTGAGATGTTATATAACTTTGATCTAACTGATTCATTTGATTTTGACCGATTCAAATGGCTGAAATTGAGTGAATCTTGGTTTAACTTGTTAACTGATTAACCTGATAAGATAAGATCTGATTGTATAAACTTGTTGTGAATCATGTTTTAAGGTTTGGACCTCTTAAAATTCAGCAAAATTTTAAAAATACTTTTTAACGTGTGTATATATATATATATATATATATATATATATATATATATATATATATATATATATATATATATATATATATATATATATATATATATATATATATATATATACACTTATTTTTATGTACTTTTCCTACGAGTTTGATCACATAAATTTTAATTCGACGACATAAATTTGTTGATATTAACTAATTTACCGAACTTATATATTTATCCATTCACAAATATTATGGTATTTAAGTTTTACCAATACAATCAATAAAATTTAACTTACAAAACAGATTAACACACGACAACCGACATCGCGCAAAATTCAAGTCCCTAGTTTATAATTGAGATCAAAAGTATGAGTTAGGCAACATCAATCGGTTGGACATTTTATGTCGAAAACGACCCTCTATAAATACAACGTCATTGATTTACGAATGGAAAACCGTCAAATAGATCTCCGATAAAGTCAACAATTCTAGAGAGAGAAAGCAAAGTGTCGGAGAGAGAGAGGAATCGTGGACTGCTGAAGGCGGTGATGCGTGGAAGCAGGTGGCAGAACAATGAAGAGATCACGGTGGAAACTTTCTTCTTCTTATAACAAGTTATTAAAATGGCAACTCGCCGCTCCATCCGAACCCTAGCGCCCAATCCCTCTTTTCAGTTAATTTAATAGCAGAATCTTCCACGTAAGGGATCTATGCTCTTTCGCCCATTGTGTTTCTTTTTCTAATCGCGTTTTTGTTGTATTTCGTTGAGAAGTTTGAAACGTCTTTGGATTATTCTTTTCTTGTCTTGTATATAATGTTCACGATGATGAACGAACAGTTCGTTACGGATACCGGAGGAATTAAGGAAATGACGGAGGTAGCTAAATTGTTGTACGTAGTGGTGGAGGATGATGAAGAAACGAAAGGGAATGAAGAATCATCGTTTAGATACACGCGTCCTGTTCTCCAGAGCACTTTGCAGTTGATGGGCTGTAAAGCACGTCATGCCTTCAAGGTTAAGCAACTCAATTTCTCATCATACTCTCAATTTATCTGTCGCGTGGTTACTGTTGAAATTGAATTACAGTTCATGATCATGTAGTTGCAATCGAGTGTTCGCGAAAATAATTCCAGATTTGGATGTTAGCTTTTTCTCATTTCTGTAAAATTAGTTAGATCTTCATAAATCTTACTGTTGCACCGAAAGTGATGTTTCTTTTTCCACTTTAACTTTTACCTGAAAGCGACTTCTCTAAAATTTGACATCTTTCCCCAGTTCGAATTAGATCCTACAGAATTTTGCTTTACGAATGATGATGTCCAAATTCCCATTCGATTTACTTTTATCTGGAATTTCTCTCAAGATTTTAAACATGTTAATATATGAGGTCTAGTACTCTGATTACACTAAATATGCTCTTATTTTCATACAGATAAGCCAAAGGGTATTTGAAATCATGAGAAATAAATGCTTAGAGGAAAGTTTGGCAGACATAGGTGTAATTCAATGGGGAAAAGATTTCTTGAAAGTTCATCCTCTGTCTGATAAGATGAATGGAAGCAATCATGTGTTTTCAGAGAAAGATAGCACAACTAAGAGCAAGCCTTTTGAATCATACAAAAAGCGCACTACAATTGTCATCAAAAGAAAGAGGTTCATAGATGTTGTATGTGATGCTCTCTCTGAATACAAGTATATTGGTCCCAATCAAAGGGCTGACTTTGTTTTAGCCTGCAGGTATTCCTAAATTTAATGTAATCATTCATACTATACATTGCTATTTCTTACATTTATCCCTTAAAAATTCAATCTTTTCTGCCTTCATTTTTTCAGAATTCGGGAAAGAAAGGAATCTGTGACTGTTCTACTCTGTGGTACTAGTGGATGTGGCAAATCTACATTGTCAGCTTTACTGGTATGTCATAAATGTTCCATTTTTCATCTGTCAATGAGTATTTTGAATCAAAGTCTCTATCTTTTATCATCATATCATGTTCTTGATCTTATAGTTTCAAGAATGCTAAACTTATTCTTGTAATTTGATACAATAAACAAATAAATGAAAGTGCATTGCTATTTCAGGCTAGCAGATTAGGGATCACAACTGTTATATCTACAGATTCAATACGCCATATGATGAGAAGCTTTGTTGATGAAAAACAAAATCCACTCCTATGGTCTTCTACTTATCATGCAGGGGAACATCTAGATCCAGTAGCTGTTTCAGAAGCCAAAGCCAAAAAAAAAGCCACAAAAGAATTTGATTCTACTTCCAAAACTGAACCTGTTCCTAAAGAAGGTTCTAGTTTGACCACAGTTGACTTAATTAGCCCTAAACAAATGGCCATTGAAGGTTTCAAAGCACAAAGTGAAATGGTCATTGATAGTCTTGACAGACTTATAACTGCATGGGAAGATCGAAAAGAATCAGTCATCGTGGAGGGTGTCCACCTCAGCCTTAATTTCGTGGTATGTAATACACTTTTACCTTTTTGCCCTTCTTCTTTTTTCCTCTCAACCGATGAATATTTTGAAATTTGCATCTTTTTGACTTGATCTGGAATCTGGATAGAAAGATTTTAATAAGTTAATCATATCCCATTACATATGAAGCTAAAGTTTGAATCTTTTTATGATTTTATAGATGGGATTAATGAAAAAACATCCATCCATCATCCCATTCATGATCTACATCACAAACGAGGACAAACACATGGAAAGATTTGCAGTTCGTGCAAAATACATGACATTAGACCCTGCAAAAAACAAATACATAAAATACATAAAAAACATAAGAACAATTCAAGAATACCTCTGCAATCGAGCAGACAAACACCTAGTCCCAAAAATAAACAACACAAATGTCGACAAAAGTGTCGCAGCAATCCACGCGACAGTTTTCAGCTGTTTAAGAAGACGTGATTCCGGAGAACCACTTTACGATTCCGCCACCAACACCGTATTTGTGATTGACGAGGAGTATCGGAATCAGTGTGTGGCTAATTCCATCGGGTCGAAAGGAATGTTTCAGTTGATTCAAAGGCAGGGTTCTTCGAGGCATTTGATGGCTCTTTTGAATAACGATGGATCGGTTGCAAAGGCGTGGAATGCCGAGGACGGAATGGGGATTCCGATGTATGGAGTGGTGCGCATTGGGAAGTCGGAATCGGTGAATCTGCAGTTTGGTAACTTCGGAATCAGTGCTTGGCCGAATGAACTTGGGTGCACTAGTCATGCTAGTAGTGTTGATGAAGTTATGGAGAATGGTAGTAGACATTATTCTTCGTGTTGTAGCTCACCAAAGTTCTCAGAAGGACATGCTAAAGAGGTATATTTGATATTTTTGTACGAGTAAATTACAGTTTTGGTCCCTGGGTATAGCTGATTTTTGTAATTTTGGTCCCTAGAATATAATCATGTTATTTGGATTAGAGACCAAAAACATTGCAAAACCTCAAATAAGCACCAAAATTGCAAGAAAAAAGATTTTCGGGACCAAAATTGAAAATTAGTTATTCTTAGCAACCAATAAGGGTAACAAAAACCTCAGATAAGGACCAAAATTGCAAAAAATACTTTTTGGGACCGAAATTGCAAGAAAAAACGTTGTGGGACCAAACTTGAAAAAATCTAATATACTCGGGGACCAAAAATGTAATTTACTGTTCTAATAATTTTATGATCAAGTTACTAAATTGGTCACTTTGGTTTTTGAATTTTATCATGTTTAGTCTAAAACCGAGACATGTTTCAGTTTTGGTCCCTTTTTCAATGTTTTATATCAGTTTTTGGTTCTTTTTTCAAGGTTTTATATCAATTTTGGTCTTTATTTCAAGGCTCCATGGACCAAAATCGATATGAAACTTCGAAGTAGGGACTAAAGTTGAATAATGTTTTAATTTTGGACTAAATCCAGTAAAAATAGAAAGCGTAAGGACCATTTTGTAATTTACTTTTTTATAATATGGTATAATACCCAAGTGGATGGACCATATCCGCAAAAAACTAGAAACTTGGACTAACCCTGTCATTTTGAGCATACCACAGGGACCAAAAGTGTAACTTATTCTAATTTCAACTTTCAGTTGAAAGAAGATTTATCTGTTAATGGAAGCGATGAAGAGGTGGACGATACCCACGCATTAGATACCGATGAGGATCTTAGTGATGATGCCAAAGAAAATATGCACGAAGAGGTAAAATGACTAAAATACCCCCATTCATTTTTTTTTCGATTGTAATTATGCTCACAAATTGAATTATGATTTAGATGGAAGGGTCAGTTGATGAGGAGTCGACTAAATCAGATGAAGAGTATGATGATCTTGCAATGCAAGATATTCAAGAAAATGGATATTTGAATGCAGAATTCGAATCTAAAACTAACGTTTCTGGAGTCAAACAGAATGTTGACTGTGTTTTGAGAACAAAAAGCGAGCCATTGATGGATAAAAGATTGGCATCTAGAGTCAGAGGACGATCTTATAGTATTATGTAAAATCTTGATATTTGTTAAAGTTATTAGGGTAAACTTCTCTTTGGCATTTTGTCGAACACCTTGAATGCACTTTACATTGTAAGTTGATCTATGGCAGTTTATGGTTGTGTTGGGCAAATGCGTGTTGCACAGATTACTTTTTTTTTTTATCTTAAAATATAAAATAAACTAAAAGGTATAAATAAGGACAAAAGTAATTCAAAAGCATATAGACCATCAATGTAAAAGAAATATGGAGGGACCTATCACGCAAGGAATCGAAACCACAGGGACCATCAATGTAACAAAAAAAAGTTATGGAGGAAAACCAAGAATATGGAAAACCGTAGGGACTATTTATGTAATTTTGTCAAATTCTTTGTATGGATTGTATATTTTTCACACTTCTTTATATTTTGGACAAGGCTTTTGTAAAAAGACGGTAGAAACAACACAAAAGCCTAGTCAAATTCGTGTGTGTAAAAAGTTGACATAACATGCAACAATGTTTCCCCTTTATTTGCTTCAAATGAAATTAATATTATACGCTTTTGGTTATTTGTATCAAATGAAATTAATATTATAATGCTTTGGTAGTTGGAACCTTAACTAATCACATGATTGTACTTGTCCCAATATCTCTTATGTTACTGGCATGGTGAGCCTTATTAATCAAATCACAGTCTAGATCATCTGAAAGCTGCGAAGAATGTTTTGTGATATTTACATGAAACTAATAATTACAAACTTCTTTTAAAAAGAAATAGAGAGTGAGAGACCTTCTTCACAGCTTTACATGAGTCTTATCAGAAAAAGAAGTGAGAGACCAATATATAATGGAAGCCTTATAAGTAAAAGTTAGAGAAATATATCACCTATGATGGTGAATACATTGTCATATATGATGGTGAATACATTGTCATATATAATTCAACTCGACATGAAATGTTGTTGAGAAATTTAAAAAGTTATTAATATAAACTAGAAAGGTTATCCCCGCTATGCGCGGGGGGGGGGGGGGGGGAATTTTCAATGTTGTTTCCGAATCGATAAATATGACAGACGTAGAAAGTGCAAGAGTGAAAAGCCCGGGCTTTGCCCAGGACCGTTTTTTCATGTTTTTATGAAAAAATGTAAAAATTTTGACTGCAAGGATCAGAAGTGTCAAAACGGATAAAGAATTAAAGAGGTAGGAATTAGCAAATTTTTAGAAAAGGGATCAAAATTGTCAAACTGTTAAAGTTTTATGGCTAAATTTTAAATATTAAAAGGTTCCTAAAAAATATAAAAATATTGATTGCAAGGACCAAAAGTATCAAAATAAATAAAAAATAAGGAGCAAAGTGCAAGATCAATTTTGCCAAAAAAAATAGTAAGTTTACTATTCCTTTTATTGAGAACTTTAATATATATATATATATATATATATATATATATATATATATATATATATATATATATATATATATATATATATATATATAATTTCATTTTGAGGCTGTTAGAAGATAATTTTTTTAATTTTTTTTTATTGCTATAACTTTGTCTATTAAGTTTTTTCACTAGCAACAATTAAAGTGGAGTGAGGCTTTAATTAGACATAACAATTCAAGTTTATATATAATTTGATCTTGATTTATACCTATTAATCAACAATTTAATGTGCCTACGAACTAAGCAAATGAAAAAAATATATATTATCCCTTTTTTTTATAAACATCTTTTTCTCTACATTTTATGACATGGATGGTTTTTATGAAAAAAAGAAAAACGAGCAAACTTATTCATAGATTTTCATTAATTGACAGAAAATATATAAAAATTAAAACATAAAAAGGTAGAGAAAGAGAAAGATAGCAATATATAAAAAGGACCACAGGGTACAAAATGGACCACATCAATTCATTAGAGGATACTGGAAAAAAAATTATATTATAGGATCAAATTTTTTTGAAACTCAAAGATCCAAGGACACATAGATGTACGAGGAAAACCTTTAATCATTTTGGATCTCAGACATGAAACTTCGAGAGTTGATAATATTACCTGTCTTAGAACTTAAGTCAATCAAAATTGTATTACATGTGCTAGCTAATCGTGTAGTAAGTGTAATCGAGTAATCAGAGCGAAGGTGGGTGTAGAAGCAAGAACGTGTTTGTGTGTAGTGGATCAATTAGGTTTTATGTATCTGTATATAACAAACTTTCCTAAATTCTAGGGATCTTTCTTGATTCATGCTTGACCTGACATTCTTAAAGGACTTAAACACTATTATGCCTTGACCACGTGTCTTTGATGTGGTCTGTTCTTTACTAGTCAAGGCTTCAAGTACTGTATACGAGATAACAAAAAACACAATATCAATCCAAAGATATTAACTAAATTCAAGATCTTGGGCTACACGTGATGTTAGTATAAGTTCAAGATATTGAAAATAAATAGGAGTAATTTTTTATATCCATAACAATTGCCCCCAAAAATCTTCAATTATGGAATCCTAGGAGTTGGAGATTTCTAGGTGCGGGATTCATCCGATAGATGATGATGTGACGTGGAATGTTTTTCTAAGATTGATCCTATCCATCTATGTTTATAGGGGTTTTGAATTTTTAATGGCTGCGATTTCAACGTTTAAATCATCTTATAAATTCAAAGCATTCCCTCTTATGCATCCAGTTTACGATTAAGGGTTTTATTATATTCATCTAGGTAATCTTTCCTTCCATTTCTCCTATTTTTCTCTTCTTTTTCGATCTTGATCATGGGCGATAAACTTACCTGATCGAGGGCTAGATCAAAGGAACCCATTGTCGAGGATTTCATAATCTAGGATTGCTACCTAGTAATGATAGTGACATTAGTAGCTACTCTTTTGTTGATATAGATTTACTTTGCTCAAAAGACAAAAAAAACACCATATTTAGAGTTTTGAAGTCAAAGTTGAGGCCAAATTATCTTTTTCCAACTTTGACTTGTTTCCATGAGTTTCTCTTTGTCAGTGGCTTGTCATTTCCTTTTCCTCCATTCATTTATAAATTCTTCGTAGTCACCAAATTTGCTTATTTTCAGATCATGTCGGTGGTACATCCTTTATTTGATGTCATTATTGAATGAAAAGGAGGGTACAGATCTTGGGTTACCCGAGATCAAAAGTGTTTACAATCGTGAAACCTTTCAATATTCTCATATCATACTTCAAATTAAGACTCGAAAACCCTGTTTGAGCCTGAAAAGTTCTCATATTGATCATGACTAAAAAAAGAGATATTACTTTTTTAAAACTTATTCTCTTGGTCAGGATGTTTCCTCCTAAGATTAGGTGACTGAGGGTAGGATTTCTATATCTAGATTTTTTTTATTTATACTTTCTTTAGAAGCTAATTTCGGTCTTTTATCTTGGACAACTCTAAAGTTTGATGTGACAGCTGTAAAAATTAGGTCAACGATCACAAACATTTAGAACACCGATGTAATAGACATAATGTATAATCTTCCACTTATTTTGATGTAAGTACAATAATATACTTTGAAATTCATTGAAATATCATTTAAAGAATCAATTTGTGTACACCATAGATGAACAAACATTTCTTATTATACATAAGTAATGATTTGATACATATTATTGAAAGAGATATATATACACGTAATTACTAATATGTGGATATAAAGAACATCAAAAACGAAGTTCGTATGCAAAAGTTACGTCAATATAAAGAAAATAGACAGTTTCGCAACAGTCTGCGACATGTAATCATAAAAACGAAACTTTAGACGTTTTGCTAGGTATCATAAACTATGAATTTGTAATTTCAAACAATTTCCCCTTAATCATCATTATATCTAGTATTTGATTATGAAGCTAACTCATTTTTTCCCAGAAAGCTCGACACTACCATGGATAATATCTAGGCAGAGCGATACCAACTATCCAGATAACAAACTTTCAAATGATTCGTACACATAGCTACACAAATCGTTTGACGAAAATGTTTGACATTTTATGAATCAAGAAATAATCTATTATTTGATCCAATTGCTAACTTGTATATTTCATGAAAATTTGATGCTTTCACGAATATAGTCGAATGCCAACAAATGAGAATCCACCGCTACCATACTTTCATAATCTTTGTTCGCTTAGTTGCAGGATTCGTTAAGTGAACACTTTTATGTTTTACAAGAGGTAAAATTAAATATTAAAACCAATTAACTCGGAAAATTCGCGAAAAGTCGGAATCGGGTTGCCAGGTCACGAGAACGCACTACACGACACGTTATCGTCCAAGCACACTTCTTCATCAACTCACCTCTCTCTCCCGATTTCCGGCCGAGCACGACTGTAAACCACTGCGAGCCACCACTGCCGTTGAAGACCAGCTCCCTCTGGCCCCTATCCGACTTGACCTATGGCAAACCTTCCCTACCTCCAACACCGATTGCTTAAATTCTGGAAACCTTATTTTTTTGGCGCCAACCTAGCACCATCAATTTTTCCGGTGACCAGGCCTTTTTTCGGCGAGTTTTTCCAGCATAAAAATTTCAGCAGCCACCCCCTCGGTTCTGATCACTTTCTAACTTTTTTTTTTACCGTGAATCACTGCGCGTTTAAAATTTGACACAATATGATGTTTCGACAAAACAAACGTGACGATTTAAAGCATGCTTTGAAAGTGAGTTTACGATCCTATTTTAAATCTTTTACAGTTTTCGGGCGGAGAATAAATGTTTAAAAATATTATTTATTGTTTATGTAAACTAAAATCATTAATTACTGTTTATATAAACTGAAACTTTCATTTATCCGTTATTAAAACGTCATTATGTAAAACTGATAAATTACACTATCGGTATCCTATTCATGCAACTTGGATATTGGTTATGTAAAACTGATAAATCATTAATTACACTATCGGTATCCTGTTCATGCAACTTGGATATTGGTTATGCACTATTGTTACTATGTTCACATAAATGAAATAATAGTTATGCATAATCATTGCTCTGCCCACATAACTCATATAGTAGTTATGCACGTATAAAACATTGGTTATAAAGCATATAAAATAGTTATACATTGTTAAAAATTATCATGGTAACTCGACATTTACGTTAATGGTATAATGTTTTAGAAATACTCACTGAATGGTTTAATACTTAGCAAGACCCCTAACTTATAACCGTTGAATCTTAAGTAAACGAGAGAATTATGTATAAATGTATACAGGTTGACACTCC